AGCTGCTGATCAGTTTCAGCAGCAGCTGACTTGGGGACACCTGGGGTTCTTAAGTTGAATCTGTAGTCCAGATTCAGCTACTGTTGAAACTGATCAGTTTCAGCAGCGGCTGAATCTGGACGCCAGTTCCGACTTACATACAGATTCAACTTAAGAACAAACCTACAGTCCCTATCTTGTACGTAACCCGGGGACTGCCTGTACTTCAAAGTAGCAGCGCAGCTTGAAGCCTGGGGCCAGAACCTGGGCTCCATGTGGCAATGCTGCTTTGAAATGCCGCGTGCAGTGTGGCAGTTGGGGTGTCCCCAGGGCCAGACTAATTCCAAGAGACAATGCTGTGTGGAGCCTGGGATCGGCTGGAGACCCCAGCTGATTCCGGGCTCCAGGCAGCACTTTTGCCTTTGAATTGTAGCAACAGCCCTATGGCTGTTGCTACTCTTCAAAGGCAGAATCACCCTATCGACTAATCGAATAGTCGATGCAAACTGCTACTCTTCAATTAGTCAATATTTAACATCCTTAGAATCCATTAATGTGAACACGCTGCATTCTTCATTATATGCCAAAGTCACTATGAAATAAAATTTAAACTTTCAGTGACAATTCTAGTGACATCACAGTTCCCAAAGCAATCTTTAATGACTTCTTGAAATGATCTCATGATGTAATAAATATATTACCCTGTTTTATGTTAGTTGTATATTCAGTATAAAAGTAGAAAATTGATTATAACACTTTTTTTTTTAATGGGACCTTTTGTTAAATATACCTGGTGTGAGGTTGTGTCAATAACAATAACTTTATATATTATCTTCAGAGGGGTAGCCGCATTAGTCTGTAACAGGAAAAAGTGAAAAAACAACAAATGTTTTGTTAGTCTGTAAGTTAAGGTGCTACTAGATTTTTTTTTTTTTTTTTTAGTTTAGTTTAATATATGATGCTGTGTCGATTTCTTAAAACATATAATATATATTGCAATAACTTCTGGGATTGTCTTAAGGGGCAGCAGACTTGCGACAAAGAAAGAAGCAAAATTGCACAGAAACTGACAAAATGGCTCCAGATGAGAGAAACAAAGAAAACTCAAACCTGGGAAGATCCCCAAAATGTAAGCTGCAGCATATTCTGTTAATTTCTCATTTTTAGTGTTCTAAAACTGTGTAAACTGTATGGAATTATGTTTTTAGTACAGTAAATATAATTACAATTATTGAATAACAAGCAGATATGTCCGGTGTTGCTCAGGTCTTTAAAGTAATGTTTTTGTGGTTTTTTTGCAAAATAAAAAGGAAAATGTGCATGCTTTATTTAAATGATTTAATTTTTCAAAAAAATTGAGGAAAAAAGTGTGCCTGAATAAAAGAAGAAAAATAATTCAAATGTTAGATAGGTCTTGTTGGTAGCCAATATTTCCAGTTTTTCTGTCTTTTGCTAGAATAAAAAGGGGGCGGGGTTGCAGGAGTGAGAGCAGGGGGCTAAGAGGGTTGGAGGCAGTGTTCTCTTTTAACTGCACAGCAGCACAGCTTCACAGGTGATTAATCACCCCCCCCCCCCCCCCCTCCCAGT